TTTGGTTGGACTTTGGTTTGGACTTTGCACTTTTGGTTGGACTTTGGCTTGGACACTGGTTTGGACTGTTAACTTTTGATCGGACTTTGAACTTTCGGTTGGGCTTTGGCTTGGACTTTGAACTTTTAGTTGAACTTTGGCTTGGACGTTGAACTTTTGGTTGGACTTTGGCTTGGACTTTGAACTTTTGGTTGGACTTTGGTTTGGACTTTGGTTTGGGCTTGCGAACTGCTCGTTGAACTTTTCCAAAATAGACGAGCTTGAAAACGAGCTTTGGGGCGAGCTTTTGGTGAGCTCAAGAGGACACTGTCTTATCTAGGTTTTTTGATCATAAGGGTAGATTGCCGGTGTGGTTCCACTGTCGATAGAACCAAAGTTTCTGCTGACCGAGCCAGCGTGAGCACCATTCGTCCCACGGCTTCGTGTCTTGTCGGTGAGTACCATAAGGGTGGCGTTTGAACCATGCACGCTCATCCACGTTGCGTAAGGCATTTTCTTGATCCGAGTAGGTGTCCTCGTCGATGGAGTCCGGTGGCGGGGGGCATGGACCAGGTGGCCCTTTATTGAGGGTATCCAGCGTGGTTCCACGATCTTGGCCCTCCAGCCAACTGGCCCGCATTGCTTGCTTGAAGTCGATGAGATTCACCTTCGTGAGAAGGTTGCTGCCCGCATTTTGAACATCGCTGTCAGGCGCAGCATGCATCAGGTGGCCCGGACTGGCATGGAAGAGGGTGTCCGGCAACATCTCAAAGCGGACATGTGAGGCTGGTGCCCCGAAGGCTTGAATCGAACCGGTTGGGCCACCAGCCGGTGTCTTGGACACAGGCTCAGCCACAAAGGCCGTGGGAGCGCGCAGCAGCCGGCATGGCCGACCATTGCTCCACCGGCTCATCCGGAGTGGCCCCCCCCCCACCACGGGCCGACCACGGGCCAGGGGCACTAGTATGGGCTTCGGAGGCTCGCAGAGTGGGTGGGCCCAACTTCAGACTCAGCTCCTCCATGCCGGTCGATCAGCCAATTGAGCGCCCCACCGCAGCAAGGTCGGCAGCCGCCACACCCTCAGATCCGGGCAAGAGGGGTCTGCCTCCTCATTGAGGGTGTCCATGTCAGGGCTGGAGATCGTGTCCGGGCCAAGCTTGTCTCACCCTCCACAACCGTGCTATCGCGGACCTCAACCAAAGCAAATCCCGCATCCACTGGCGAAGCCATGTATTGTTGAGAAGACAGGGGGATCGCGTTTCACAAATGCAGTATCACGGCACTGCAGTTTCACTTAAGCCAAAAGGTCCGGGTGGGACATTTTGGTGACTTTGGTGAACATAAAACTTGCACACGCAAGCTACATGCAAATGTGAATATGATATCTGATACTGTATGCAGCACATGGCACACACGATCACTGCTTTAAACTTGCGCATTCTACAACTCCCGCCTTGGCCTTGCCATTAAAAACAGCATCATGCAAGGCACAATAGAATTCTCGATCACCGCAGAAGCCTCACACAGTTGCAAGAATGATTGGGTTCGCCTTGCCCAAAAAGTTGCCATACAAAGCCCTGTAATCAATTAAGAGTGGCATATGATATGCGCAATGTCAGCCACACAGGCACTACCGCTTCCAAGCCACAAAATCTATTGATTTCATCGGAAGGACTATCTACATAGTCCAGGATCATCTCCATGGCCGCTATACAACCTCGGTAGTAAAAGCCTCTTTCTTCAGTATTGACCAGCTCAGTTTCACCGCAGCAGGCAGCGAAAAGCATTCTGAGATGCTAACCTAAACCAGCAGCGATATGCAAGGCCGGCAGCTCAACAACCTTAGCTTTGGCATCCTACAAGTAGTAGGGACCACACCCTCAACACTTCGATGGCGCCAAAATCTTGAACGGGCAGCTTCTTTCCGGCGGGTATAGGTGGCCGAACTGTTGGGCTCTGCTTTGGCCCACCTCAGATTCAGTCGCGTCTGTGCCACTGATGCCACTGATTCTGGATCTGACACCAGGGTCAGAGTGCATGCTGCAAAGTGATGGAAGTTGGCTGCTGGTGACAAAGTGAGTTCTAAGAGTGGACCTCTGAGATGTCATTGTCCAGCCCAGTTGCTGTCTCCATGCCAAAGGCTTGCAACATTTGTACACTATCTGTACTACATATCCTGTGTGACTTTGCACGACAGCGGTCCAAACCTTTAATCCATCAAGTCCGGGATTGCATTCGAAGTCGGAGGTTCCACGCCCCCGAGGGTGAAATTTGGCGAGGAAGGAGCCATTCCAACATAGCACACCTTTTGTAAACTGCCCGACGGCAAGATTTAGAGCGGGAAGGTGTTATTCCAAATTCAAGTTGAGGTGAGTGGTTTTGTATGCTCCCAGGCTTCCAGGGTGAGTTCTAACTATATCCTCATCCTGTTTCTAGCGATTCACAATTTCGTCCAACACCTTCCTGCATGCGAGGCACAGCAGGATCTTGACATCCTGCGGGACTTGGTTCTTGTCAATTCAATCCAGCTGAAAACTGAGACGCATGAAGCATTGAACTCTGTAGGAGTAACAGTTGCATGCGTTTGATCCTCGAGCCCATCCATGCCAAGAGGGCTCAGGGAGTTCAATGATGCCACCCATATCGCGAAATGCAATGGCCTACATTGGGCACCCGACATTGCAGTGCAGGCACTTGCAGAATCGTGCAAAAATATCGAAAGACTTCGATGACTGGTCTCCCCTTCAAATATCTCCCCTTGTAAGGGATGAGCTCCTCATGCCTTGGCTTTGCTCTAAATGCCATGTCCACGTCATAGCTATATAGTTGGGTCCTGTCGGCAAATGTCAAGAACAATTACCACAAATCTATGCATTCAACCTTGAAAAGAGTGCTGAGGACAAGGGCAAACTACACACCTCACAAAACGGATCCGGTGCTTCAAATTGCTGCAGGCTAATGGATTTGAAAATTATATAAGAGAATTAGCAAAGCCGTGGGCATCTCAGTGCGCGAAGCACGTGCGAGAAAATGATTGCCAAGTGGCTCTCGTTCGATTGCATGTAGCAGGTCATCAGGCAAATGTGGCTGAAAAAATTCCCTCAGACCACAGCGTCAGGGTAAGGCTTGCCAAGCAGTCACTCTGGGAAGAACACATCAATTAGCTTCTTGTTGCTACTAGTAACAAGTGCCACGCTAGTAGTAACAAGTGCCTTACTACTAGTAACAAAAAGCTATTAGAATTAAAGAACACATCAACCATCCGTGATGCAGCCAGGTATCTCATTTAGACGCAACTCGTCTGACGTATTGGAGGATATCAGCGGGTCAATCTGCGACGTGCACAATTACGCCAGGCAGGACGACAAGACGGGAATGAAAATGCCAACAATTACATCCCAACAGGGTTTTAACAAGAAATTCCATGCATTTCAAACGGGAAATCCTCATCAAAAACCTTGAATTTCTCAGATCCATGCCTGCTGCACTGCCTCATGGTAGTGCCTTCTTGCACTGGAGATGTGTTCAATGCCTCAGCTACATAGAAATTCCAGACTCAAATTCCACACAATAAAACGTGATCGCTTAATTAGCTGCTTGCCTCATTCAATACATGTTCTTGCGGGGCCGCCACTGGCGTTGCCTTCAAGACATGGAGGAGTTTTGTAGTCAGGGCTGGACTCAACAAGCACCTATCAATCCGTCAAGCCCAGATGCACTCGACATGTTGAGGTCGATCGAGATTCTCCAGGTTCGCCCATCCGACAACCTGTCGTCAATTCTTGTTGCCAACCAAAACTCGTCATAACTTGGTCAGGATTCTTGATCCTTATATATTGGTCCTGTCCTACTGACACTGTTGAGTTGATTTAGCCTCACCAGCAATAGAGTACCAACATGCCAAGCTACCTGACTGCTGCTTGCATGATTGTCCTGACAGCTCTGGACACGGTAACCCATTTTACAAGAAATGCCAGGGAAAGTCTCTCTGTGGTGCGAACGCCGACTCAGGCGCAACTCAGCTCTCACCCGAGCGGTCCTGACGGATGTCGTGAAAGCTGAGTGCAGTCGAAGTTTTTGCAGATAAAGCTCGTCGCCACGAAGACCTCGCAGCGGATACGGAGTTCGTGCGGGAAGCGGCCTTCAAGGGTTACAATCTGCTTTCACACCTCAGCACATCCCTATCATGTTTCTGTTCAATACCTTTTATTTCAAATGTTGGTGCAATTTCTCCCTGACTTGGTGGGCTCTTTGGATCCAGTTGACTGAGACATGGCCACCAGAGAAACAATTTTGGCATAGCTTGAGTCGAGCTGGCTTCAAGACTCCAACTTCATCCTCTTGTCAGACTCTTGTCCCCTCTTAGTCCTTGGTGTCTTGGAGCTGGTTTCTCATCTACGTCAGCACAATGGTCTCGTTCGCTCTGAAAGTCTCGATTCAGATCAATGTGCCTTGGCACACGGCCTTTGAGCTAGAATAGCCCGCCCTATTCTCAATCCAAGCTGCCCCTTCTTATCATTCGATCTATTCGATCTGGCTGCAATGACGAGCCCAAGGACCATCTGCAGTCCTCAAAGTATCGATCCTCGGCGCAAAACAAGACTCCCCTAGGAGAGACCTCTCACGAATGTTGTACACAATCAATGTGTCCAACTCAGTGCCTTACTATCTTACTGTCAAATAGATCGGTCAAGGCAAACCGACATGCGAGGCCAAGCAAGGCGAATGAATCACAAGTTCCCAATGCTGCTCTGCACTGCTCTGTGGTTGAAGAGCTCACACTTTGTATGTGTGTGTGATGCTTGTGCACGTAGGAGTCTAGCCCAACTCCAAAAAACAGCGTAAGGTGTTTAGGTCTAGGTTGCTTATGGCAGAGGATTTGGCAGGTCGGCTTTGCCGCCTAGGCAGAAAACGGCACAGGTTTGCCTTGAGCAAGCTTTGGCCTCAGGCTGAGTCTGAGCTGTTTGCAGCTTCAAGACTCCATCGGGTGTGGAGCTAGGCAAACAAATGAATGCTGAAGCAGGCTGAATGCTACAGCTGCGCTGGAATGATCCAATGACTCGATGGCCTCTCTCGCTCCAGGCCGAACTCCCTCAAACACCCGACGCTGTAAATGGGAATGTGCAAAGCACTTTGGCTTGCTGGATTCTGTTACAGTAACTCTTAAGTGGACTTCTCATAAAATGCCTGACTTTGCTTTCAACTCTTCAGCGGCTTTCTTGAACTTCGTAGTCTCTGATTCTTGTGGATGTTTGCGCAATGCTGGCTGCTAGCTTGACATCTCCTAACTGCGCTTGCTTGAGCCCAAGGCTTCCAAGTCGAAAGAAATTGCCAAAACAGGCAGTGCTTGGCAAGATGGCAGGCCGCGAAACTGGAAAGTTTCGCTAAGCGACAGGCGCCCCATGGGAGTCTTTGCCTGCCGCTCGACCAGGAGGCAAACGGCCTCAGTTAAGCAGGTGGGCTGTAAAGCTCTACAGCTAGTAGAGTATCCCCTTTTGCTTCCTCCCTATGCAGGGGCTATCTCCCTTGGACGTGAGTTCTTGGTCTATCCGATCCAAGGACCTCTAGGAGTTTGGTATTGATCGTCTTAAGCCCTTGACAGAAAGCACATCCACGTAGTCATCAAGCCAGGCTGACTGCAACTTGCCCGGTGAATAGACCGACTGCGCCTAGGTTTGCCGCGTGCAATTCTGTGCAACTCCGAGCCTTGCGACATTGCTTGCATGCGTCGCTTTCAGCCAAGCGGCAAAGGCACCTGCGATGTCACATCAAAACATCAGGCAGTTTTCTGACAACTATCAGTTTCAGCTGACAGCACTGTTTGCTTGTTCAAGTTGTGGCCTTGATCGTGGAACTCCAGCAGTGAACCATCTGGCAGCTCGACCGAGGACTTTCGCACACCTCCCAGCAAACTCCGATGTGTCAGCAGCTTCTCTCCATATGGTCAATGGATGCCCAATGACACTTCTTTGGGGATCAAACAGCACATCTCCTCACATGGCCAGGTGAAAGCATAAGACCTAGGCTGCTGCAGGTTGAACAGTCTGCTAGGTTGTGTTCAGGATGGGCATTGCAACAACGCATGCAATGTACACAACATAATATAGATACAATTAGACCGGATTAGCCTAATGGTAATAATGACAGCCCCCAACAGCAAAGTTCATCCAAGAAGTTGCTTGCGGTCACTCTTGGTAACATCTGACATGACAAAGAAATGCAAAGAACGTGATAAACATGTCACATATCATGATCGGTTGTCTGTGCTCCACCGCCCGCACCAAAGCTTTCAAGCGGGTCCGAAGGATCTCGAAGATTCTAAGAGGACTGCTTAAGGCTTAAGCTATGGGCATTTCAAAGCATGCCCTCTGGGCGGGGACTTCTCTTGGCAAAGTCCAGGACCGGACCTCTTCGGAACCAGAACCTCTTAAATCTGAGCTGGGCCGCCTCTCCTTCAGAACCTTCTCCATGACCTGCTTTGGAACCTGGCCCTGTGACCTTTCCTGGAATCTCTGCTGGGGACGATTCAAGGGTGTCACCTCATTCCTTGCAGTACTATGGGCTGAAGATCACAAGGGTCCGCTGTGGGTGGATCTTTTTCAACAACTCGATGCTGCTGCGCTTTGGGATTTTCTATGTCCTGTTTCATCAAGATTGCTGCACCTTGGAGATTTGATCGCAATGTCAATCTAAACTGATGCCAGCTGGCAAGCAGCTCAAAGATAGTGTCATCCCGAGCTTCATATCGGGCATAGAGCCACGGCAGGCGGGGCCTGCAAAGCAGCGCGCAAATTTGTACCCACAATGGCAGTGTCATCCCATTGCCAGTGAACTGCTCACACTGCCACATTGCCAAGGCGCTCCGATCAATGAACATCACCCGCGTGGCATCTGGACCCACGATGACGGACACACGCTCGAAGCCGCTAGGCACTCGTGCCAGGCAGTAGAAAAGGCATTCCACCTGCCCGCAACAGCAATCTTGCAAACCTGCTTGACATTCGCGCCTACTGGCCTACCAAATAGCAGCCCTCGACTGGACAAAGAGGCCAAGGATTGGAACGGAAACCAGAAAGTGCTATCCAAGATCATCTCAGCCAGGGAAACAAGTTCATCGAGAAGACACCCATTATCCAAACACTACTCTCTGCACCGTTGAAACTCAACCTGTGCACTGATCCAAATTATATAGATAGGATTTCATTTTCCACGTCCGTGTTCAAGTTACAATGTGTAAATGTGTGACCTTAACAAAACAATAGAAAAGTTGGTGCATTTTGGAAAAGAAGACAGTAAACGCCTTTTTTGATCCCACTAAACAATTGCCCGAGCCTAAACAATATTGCAGTAATATACAGTGGAGTCCCTGAAGCTATCAAGCGATTCACTAAGGCTTAAGGCCCGCCTCAATGTCCTCAGCAACACACTTTCGGCAAGAGCGGCCCCGGCTCCACAAGCTTAATGAACCTCTATGCCACCCTCACCAACCCTCGAATTAACAAAAAGTTGCCTACGGAGGCGAGGCCCCCCCAAAAAAAAGATAGAAGCGATTTCCAGATATGTTCAGTACATGGTCAACAGCGATTTACTTTTACCGGGGGCATTATCGCATGAACACAGAGCTGTCAAGGTCTGAGCAGAAAAATCCTGTGAGCCCTTTAAACTCTGAAACTTCAAGCTTCTGAAAAGCAGTGAGCGCCTTCCAATAATGAGCCAAGTATCCCAAACCCAGAACTGTCCGCCAGCGCTTGCGTTCTAAGATGTTCGTCAGGCATGGTCTCCCCTCTGTCAGCCTTAAAAAAGCAAGGCGCAAGCTGTCAGCCCGTAATGCTCAAAGGCTCTTCAGCAAAATCATGTAGAACCCAGACTGCGATTGAAGAAACTCTTTAAATGACTTAAGCAGGGCCTTTGGCTTTGGCTTAAGAAATGTATCTTTTACAAATGTCTGCCTGCCTGAATTGAGGAATGATCGGAAGACGATTCTCTCGAGGCAAAGCTGCTAGCATGTGTTGCGAGGGCAACCAGAGCACAGCTCGAGCCAGCATTTTGACAGAGCAAATCTCTCACTTCTTCGGCTTGACAAATTCTGCACAAGAAAGTCTGGTAGCATCAATGCTTGTCATGTAGTGCATGCTGAGTCTTGAATGATCAGACTGCCTCATGACAATTCAAACAGGCCCTCCCTTTGCTGGACACATTCTGCACAAGAAAGTGTGGTAGCAGGTAGCATCCGTGATTGAGATGAACAGACTGCACTCACGACAATTCGATAAATGTTTGTCTTTTTCGCTGGACGTGCAATAGCTGCAACTAAAATGTGCAGAGCTGACACGCGGATCTTGATTCGGTTTCACGACAAGCCTCAACTTCAGCTTGGAATTTTGAACCAACTGGATATATTTTCTGTGTATATACATAGTAAGTCCCTGTCAGCAAGCCATCCTCTCAATCTGGGCAACACTTGGGAGCAAGCGATGGCAGCTGTAGTGAAGCTCCCTGTGCCGTCGGCTGACGTATCACATGCTGCCAGCTTCCCTTTCGGATGCACCACGCACCCTGTGCGGTCTCTTGAGTTTTTCCGCGCCTTCCTGCCCACTCTTCAGCGCACCGTGTACCTTCGCAAGCCCATGGTGCTGAGGAAGGCTGGGGCACAAACCTCTGCAAGGATTGAATCGACTCTGTCTTGCGGGAACTGTGGGTCCATGGGCACATACGCCCCCCAGCTTTCAAAGTGCCTTAGATTGCAACCATCATCTCCAGACCACGTTCGAAGAGCAACGCTACAAGCGATTCGCTGGCACAGCCCATGGATCGCAGGTTGGCTGCGAGGTGGTCGTACATCAGGTTGAAAGTAGCATAATTATGAGATCTCCTGGTCACCCACAATAATGGCAATCGCCGAAGGAGACTTCTGGCTTTGTGCTTCGAAAAGGCTGCGCACAGTTGCGCACGTGGGAAAGCGGTTTTTGCGGATCCGTTGGACCACTCCAACACCTTCCGCGTCTCAGAGTCCATAAGAAGTTGGTCCAACCATAAATTTGGTGATTTGCAGCCACCTGGAAGTCAAAGCTCACATGCTCACATGTTTGGTCCCACGCTGATGATGCGCAGCGCTTCTTGTTCACGCGGACGTCATGGAAGTCGCGCGGCGCCATCCAATCCGCAATCCAGACCGGCTTTGACCGTCGGAGCTGCGGACTGCTGTTCGGGTCAATAGAAACTTCCCGATGGCAGGTCTGCTACGGCCATCCTGGAATGGGTGACCCCCATAGTTGCTATACTAGGTCTAAATAACTGTCTAACACATGCATTACATCCATATATATATCCGCCGACCCCACACCGTGGGGTGAGGCGTGACTGTCGATGTTAGCCTTAGCCTTAAGCCTTAGCCTTAGCCTTAGCCTTAGACTTAGACTTAAGCCTTAGCCTTATCCTTAGCCTTAGACCTAGTCCTTAGCCTTAGACCTAGACCTTACCTCCCCTACCCCTCCGGACCCTTGTTGCAGTGACGAAATCCGGTTGGAATTCTCCGGGAAAGCGACCTGGATTGTCCAAGATTCTGCTATCCCAATTGATTTACATCTTGGGGCACCCTCTCGACCCGCGCGGGAAAATAAGCACGGTCCAAAATGGTCCTGGGCTCGAATCCCGGGCTGGTCGCGGCGTGGTCCCGGCCAATGCCCTTGCTTTTTCGTAGATGTTGTCACGTTTTCTGTTGGCTTATGAGATTTTCAAAGGCT